TGTTGTTTGAGCTCAGAAATTTAAAATAAACACATAGGCCTAAAGCCACGTCGAGACTGGGTGGGATGCTGGGTTGCACTGGGTTTGGAGAGATAATAACAGGAAGGGGAGGTGTGTGCTGGTGCCTTTGCCCAGGGCTGGGTCCCTGAGCTGATGTGAACAGCCCAGAACAACCTGGGATCTGTGGCAGCCTGGCACCCATTTTCCACATGAACCTTTCCTGCACTCACTGTGTTTTTGTGAGCTCTACCTGGGAATCAGAAGGTAAAAGCCAAGTGCTCCCCCAGTGTCTGTAAGCCCAGGTGAGCAGGAGCAGCAACACCAGGGGTGTTCCCATGCCTGTCTTCTGAGAGTGCAGTGTGGGCTGCCCACACCTCTGTGGCAGGAGGAGCTGGGCATGGGAARAGCTGGGRCTGGTGGCACCAGCAGGGCAGCTGGTGGTGTGAAGTGCTGCAGGAAAGGCCACAGAGCTCTGTGTCTTGTGGCCTGAAACTGCTACTCAGKTGTGCTCCTCTGTGATGATGAGCCTGGTGTCTTGTGCCTGTGCAGTCCGTCCACGTGAGCTGTCCCTTTTGTCCCCAGAAGAAGATGATGGGGTGCTGGAAGGACTGGATGAGTTTTTTGCAGAAGAGCAAGTCGTGGTACAGAAAAAGAAGAAATCCAAGAAGCTGAAAGATGGCAAGGCTGCCAAAATCAAAAGGAGAAAGAAGGAGGTAATGCTGCATTTTCTCACACTGCTGAGGCTCCTCAGCCATGGCATAGAGGCAGCAGCTCCGAGTGCTGCTGGGAAGCGCCTCTTGGGTCTTCATGGATGGAAAGGAGAGTCATTATTGGGGTGTTCCCGTGCTCTCCCAGCCCTGGGAGGTGACCCAGCACCAGGGCATGGTGCTCTTACCCAGTTTGACTGCCTGGGGTGGCAGTGTCACCTGTGAGTGGTCTCTTGGGGGGAGAAGGGGACTCTGTGCCTCCAGGCAGTGATGCTGGTGCCTGTCCTGCAGGAGCAGCTCGGCTCTTGTGGGTACATCTGTGTGTGCAGTGGTACCTTCTGATCTCAACCCATGTGTTGAGATCCTCCTGGCCATGCCACAGTGTCTCATCCAGGGGACAGCAGTAAATCGTGCCACCAACAGGGCATGCGGGGCTCATGTTCCCAAGGAGGGAGATGCAAACCACCATGGACTGGGGCAGGTCTTGGAGCTTTCTGTGGATACTGGTATTAACCACGCTCATTCCAGGTGTTTGCAAGTGAGGCTGCATGGGCTGCTAGGATGTGRCACATGGAAGGACTCTTAGGCCTTTTGTGGGTAAATAAAAGTGAGGATTTGTGTCCTCGAGGATCAGGCACCGAGGCTGCACTGGAGGTGCCTTGCTGGGTTGASAAGGCTGTCTGGCACTGCTCCCAGAGCCCAGCTCACTGCTGCACTGCTCCACACGGGCTCTGCACCTTGCTGTTCCGTCCCCAGAGAGTGCTGGACGTGAGGATAGGAGCAGACATCTTATGTGCTAGCCCTCTCCCCTGCCTAAATGTGGAYAAGCTGCTGGGAAGAAAGGGYGAACAGTGAAGGTTCCTTAGCCCCYTGCTTCYYCTGCTGYAGCTGGGGAGATGCTGCTCATCCAGCACAACTGGGCAYGTCCTCCCCTTGCCAAGGCAGGGCTGGGTGTTGCTGATCTCCCGAGGGAGCTGTGCACAGATCAGCTGGGTGGTATCGCATGGAAGTGCTTGTGGTATGGGAGGAGTAATGAGCTGGTRTAAAGACAGGTGATTCCATCCTGGTCTGCCTCTTGCAGAAGTCGTGGCCCTGAGGAAGCTTGTGTTGTGGCCATGATGCTGTTCTCTTTCTGCAGATACCACACAAAACTGGCTCAGGCCCTCTGCCCCCTCTGCCTCTCCCATCGTTAGGCACAGTTTTTTCCCTGTGCTGTTTTCTGAGAGGAGGAAAATWAAACACATCTCCAAGGTGTTTTTACCTCTGTCCCTGCTGTTGCCTGAGCCCAGCAGCTGTGTGTGCAGCTTGGGCTGAGCTTGGCTGCTGCCGAGCTGGGGCTGGGGAGGAAATAACAGGCTCAACACATTCTTTTTTTTTTTTTTAATTAATGCCTTATGTGGGCAGCTCTAACCAGCTTTGGTTCTGCTTGTGGGAGACTGTCCCCTCATCTGTCAAATCCAGGGAAAAGCTGGTGCTGTTCGTTGGCACGAAGTAGCCCCAAGGCTGCCCTTGGGGTCAGGGGATAACAAACAGAGGACCTTGAAGGGGGCTTCATTTTCCTGAACTTCTCCTCAGGAGTTTTGGGGACAAATGAGCCTTACCCTTGCCAGAAGTGGGTGGGAGTGAGGTGCAAGCCTGGGTGTGAGGGCAATGGCTGTATCTGCTGCGTTCCTCGGGCTTTTTGGGGCTGTGGGGCAGGAGCAGTGCCGCGGAAATTCGCCGGCACCAGCCGCAGTGAAGCTCACGGCGACGCAGGGATCGGTGCTGCAACCCCCGGAAAAAAAAAAAAAATCCGCGCGGAACAGCCGGGCTCTGGTTGGAACTCAGCGCAGGCAGATGAAGGTCCTTGGCAGGGAAGGCAGCGGAGAGGGAGATTCAACCTGTACCGCAGCAGTTCCCATGGAAACCAATTATCCCGTGCCCAATTCCAGCTGTTCCTAACCCCGTTAAAGGAGAGGCGCGGGCTGCTCCGAGCCGGGAGGGACCGGCATCCGAGCCGCGATGGCCACCGAGCCCCGGCAGCCCCGGGGGATCCGCGCCCGGCACCGGGGCGGTGGCTGCGGGCAGGAGGGGCGGACGGAGCCGGGATCGGTGCTGGGTGCAGGGTGCTGTCCGCGGTGCTGCTACGGTCCCCGGTCCCTCCCGCCGAGCCCTGGTGCTTCTCGGTGTCCCCGAGGGATGGGATGACATCTAGAGGGACCTGGAGAAACGCGAGGAGGGGGCGCATGGGAACCTCGTGTAGTTCAACAAAACCAAGCGCAGGTGCTGCACCTGTATCTCGGCAACCCTCGGTGTCAGTCCAAGCAGGGGGATGAGCAGTGGAGAGCAGTCTTGCCGAGAAGGGCTCGGGGGTGCTGGTTGGTGAGAGGCTGGACATGCCCTGGSCATGTGTGTTGGCAGCCCAGGAGGCTGCCTGAGTGCTCCACCCAGCACATTCCTTGGGATGGTAATTCTGTTACCATCAGTGTTGTGCAGTGGATCATGATCTCTCTCAGAAATAAGCAAAAATACCCCCTAGCAGTCCCT